GCCTGCAAAAGAAACCCCCGTTAGGCAGGCGCAGGTCGGCCTATATTACCCTCGCCTCTGCCACAGCCTCGACCTGCCTCGCCTCCATCCTCTGTCGACGAGGAGCCGTTAATATGACAATTTGCCTCGCAGAGTCATCGACCTTGACCCAGAGCGTTGGAATGCCAATCTCAGCCGCTACTGGCATCATGGTGCGCGGGGGGGTCGGAAACCCCCGCAGCATTGGTTGTATAACAGCCTTGACCTCAGCCTTCTGAGGCCTCCAGCCGTATAAGCCACATAGTGGCATAACAGATACCCGCCTCGGGTTTGGCCCTCGCCTAGGACGTCGTCTACTTCCAGTTCCGGAACCAGGTTTCACACTCAGCTGTTTCACTTTGCCTCTGCCTCAGCAGCCTATGCTCAGGCTATATAGTTGCCACAGCCTCATCGCCTTGATCAGGCTACCTTACATAAAACATCTCGTAAGAGATCTCCTAGTAGCCCACAAGGAGTCTCACCTGTTTTCACAAAGCCTAGCATGTGAGGTCGTCTCTATAGGCTGTGTACCAAGGCCAGTCAACAGTGTGCATGTGGTGATCCGGTGGCTGGCCCCCATAGCAATTGACCCAAGGCTTGCCATGGTAGATCATGATCGACCCGAACGGAGGTGGTGGCTTGGCTCCGCTGTAGGTAGGCCGTAGGCGAGGGTCGAGTTCATTTTCAGTAGGCTCCCAAACGTCTGAGTTTATCTCTTCCATCTTGATGCGCTGGCCATCGGCTGTGACGAGGCCAACCACCGTTGCAGGTGGGCTCGGGGCCTTGGGTATAGGCTGCTGGAGAGGCTGCTGGGCGGGCCGTCGAGAAGGCTGAGCCGGCGCTGCCTTGGGCGGGGGTGAATTGACTGAAGGCGACTTGGGGGCCGCAGTCGGCATAGCCTTGACCTGGATCGTAAGCTCCCCCGGCTTGGGCAAGTATTCCTGGTCCGGTACGGGCCGGAGATATTGTGGCTGTTTGTTGGGCTGGCGGGCTGTGTCTGGGCTCGGATCCGGGGCCGCGGAAGTTGGGGCCTCATCGGCTTCGTCCGCGGCATCGGCCCAGGCTTGTTTGGATGAGGTCTGAGGTGCTGCGTCTGGAGCTGGTGCTGGAGTAGGCTCACGGGGGCTCCGCCAGGCGTGGGCAGAAAAAGGGTGGTAGAGGCTGCATGTCGCTGAACGCCGACCGACTTGGGCGCCCAGGCTCCTTGTGGGCGGTAGATAGGCCGGCGTCGTATGAATGCCCATACTTCAAAGCGGTTGAGATGCTTGTCGAAGCTGATTGACTCGGCTGACTTCCAGAACATAGGCAGCTCGTGGTTGAAGCTGGCCATATCGGCGATGTCTGCATAGGCCACCGCTGCCCCCGTGATTTTGTAGAGGCAGGGCGCATCCGCCGGCAGCCAAGGCTCGGTGGGCTCCTGTTGAGGCTTTGGAACATCTTGCCCCCGCTCCTCGATAGTCTCCGTAGCGGGTTGGGCTGGGGAAGGCGAAGATGAATCCTGGGAAGGCAAAATCTCAGGGGGTATGTCTCCCTGGAAACACCCCTGTTGGCCTTCGTACCACTCTAACTGGTTGGCTATTTCCTTTTGGCTGAAAATACTCTGAGTGGCCGAGTCTGAGGCTATGGGGACGTCTGCCCCCGAGGCTGCCTGTGTAGGCTGCCCTAGCAGTTGCTGGGACGAGGCTGATGAAGAAGCCGGTGCCAAATCTGCTGACGGGGCTGCATCGGCTGTGGATGAGGCTCCGCCTGTGAGTGCTGACTCCGCCACGAGCCGCAACACCTTCTGCTTTTCCTCAGCGCTGAGGGTGGCCAGCCAGGGCGCGAAGGCTGAGTCGGAAGGATCCATAGCTGGACTTTTAGAGGCTGAAGATTTTTTTGCTAAAGAAAAACTCAAAACCAAATCATGCCAAACCATGCAAAGTGTTGGACAAAAGCTCAAGCTATAAATGTTCAGTCAATATATTTGCAATAAGTGTAAGCTGACAGGTCACACGCTCTGCTCTCTTTTTCACAGGGGCGAACTGGGTTGCCCGGCCTCCCCAGAAAGAAGCAGCCCAGCTTCGGCCCAATCTACAAGTCTCGTAAAGCCACCCCTGAAAGTGGACAAGTGCACTTGACCCTTATAGATCCCGACTCAAGAAGCTGAAGCACCTTACCACGCGAGGGGTCATCAGAAGGATTTGACGCCGAGGGCACTCGAGCCCAGTACGACCACGAATGGCCGTTTTTCTCGCAAGACTCCCAAGAGAGGAGCAGATCACGAAAGACCTCACTCTTCGAGTTGCCGCGAATGAAGCTCATCAGCACTGCATCATTATCCACGAAGAAAATGCAAAATTTTCCCGACACATAGTTGTGGAAGACCTTTCGCGCCACTGCAAGCGCGTATGCCTCCACGGGCCCGATGATGTGCTTCAAGTGTTGAGACCACTGGCGCGTCAGGGCCGACGGGACCTCGCAACCAAAGAATCGAGGCTGCTCATCGCCAGGGAGATACAGGACTCCCCCGACGGTGTGGCCGGTGGTCTCGCTGGCACCGTCAGTGAAGATCAGAACAGGTTTAGGGGCAACCAAACAAGGGACTACACGAGGGGCGCCGAAGGACAAGCGGTTCACTAAGAACTCAAAGGCGCACACCTCCTTAGGGCCTAAGGGGAACCTAGTGGCATGGCTCATGGATGCGGCCCGTAGCTCGGACAAGGCCAACTTGCCAGCTCGGCCCATCACCTGTGCATCAGAGAACTGCACTCTGCCTGCCACCCTTGCGAAGTCACGAAGCTTAATGCACCCATCGGCGATGCATGCACGAATGACCTCGCACACATCGCTGGAGCGACCCTCCTTGTTTTTGATGCGGATGACTCCTTCTTCGGCGGAGCCTAAGTCCACCTCAACTCCCAACATCGTGGCGACATGAGAGAAGGGATTAAGCTTATCAACCGACGCCGAAAAGCCAAGCAACGAAGACAAGATTAACAGGGTGTCCATGGATGACTTGGCCAGGCACTCGGGACTCATTACCGGGTAATCGTCCACAAAGTTAGCCCAAAACAAGTGAACCTCAAGCCCTACTCGCCAAAAGAGCCTAGCCAAACGGTTAAAGTGCACGACAGAAGCAGTACTGCCAAAAGGCAGCGCCTTTCCTTCGAAGAGTCCGATCTCCGCACTGCTCGGATCGAGCAGCGCCACGACCGAGAAGGCGCGACTGTCAGGATCCAGTGCAAACTGTCGGTAGGCATTGTGCAAGTCGAAGGTGCACAACTTTGGGAGCCACGAGTCTCCCTTCCAAGCAGGATGAACGCGACCGACCAACGGGGGGCCGACCTCCATGTCAAGAAAGAACTGATGCTGGGAAGTGTGCGCACGAATCCAAAACCTGCAAATGGCGATGATCTCATCTAGCGCCCGCAAGTCAAGCTTGTCACCGTACGAGAAAGACCCGTTAACCAAATTTTCGGAATAGTCATCTATCGGTCTAAGTTTGCGACGGCCATTCGAAGACTGAATGACTGCGAAGCGTCGCACAGGTGCCCACCGATCCCCGTACCGGAGCTCCAACTCAGCTTCAGTGAGGGGGCCCTCCAGGAAGCCCTCGCGCACCTCGGCCAATGTCTTCTGCCATAGCTCGTCCGAATGTTCATTGACACCACCCGACCTGACTTTACCAAGGAGGGCCGGGCGAATGAACTTGCACGCTTTCGCAAACTCCGCAGCGGTCCTCTCCTGTGGCCTAGGCTCCCGTCTGAACACTCCAGTAGGTTTCTGAACACCGACAAGTGAGAACCCTTTACAAGTATCGGACAACCAATCATCGTCCCCAGCCCAAGTCGTCCGAGATGCGCTTCAGCAACAAGAGGCGTTTGGAGCCGAGAACAGCCCGCACTTCGGGCTCTAAGCTCTCCTTCGTCAAGCTCAGCTGCCCACTGTAACCATTTTGTCAAAGTGGCAACCCTCTGCTTAGCGACCCACTGCGGACCCTTGACGAGAGCCTCGAAAAGCTTACGCTTAACAACATCGGGGACGACACTAAAACTAAAGGACTCAAACGGGTGACGAAGATGGCGAGCCTTCTCGACAAAGTCCTCAGGTTTTGCATACACACCTATCTTAAGCTCGAAGCTGCCCGAGTCCCCCACTTTTGTAGCAGTAATGAGCTTAGACCCGGAAGGTATGTCACCAAGATTATGGACCAGGCACCTTTTATGATCAACTTCGGGCACGGAGGCCGCAACACACTGCTTCACAAGACCAAACTCAGGAATGAGATTGGCCGGTGCTTTGCCGCGACGCTGTTGCGCTACAGGAGGCGGCGAAGTCTGAACACCAGGAGCCTCCGCATCCACACCCAACTGCTTAGCCACGGCGGTGGCAACGAGTTGGCACAGCGAGCGAGGATGAGAATCCACACCTGAAGTGACGGGCAAATGCACGTGATTGCCATGGCATACTTGGTTCAAAGAAGCAAGGCCCTCACATGACGTGAGGAACTGGCGCCTCAGGCGATGAGGGGTGCCAAAATTGCACAAGTCGTACACTACAGAGGTGGTTGCATCGCTCTGCAAACGGCGAATGCTGGGCATGCTCCACAAGAAACTGGAGTGGGGGTGTTCCAATGTCCATAAGATGCCCTTCGACGTTGCAAGTTGTAGGAATGCAGCCACATGGGCCACGAGAGAGTCAGCCAACGCCAACCTTTGCCCAAGCAAGATGTCATCACTCTCAGAATGCACGGGGTTTCCTGAAACAAGTTTGCGCATGCCTTGTTTGGGACCGAAGGTAGCATACGGCAACTCCACATGGATGTACCGCACCGGGAACTGATCAAGTACGTGAGCCAAGTACTGCCAGGAACTGTTGACCGCAAGATCCAAGGAGCACAATTTTGACAACGGTAAACGGTGAGCACCTTTGTCGACTGGCAAGACCTCGAAGCCAAGTTGATGAAAAGACCGCGACAACGCCCCGGCCCTGGCGAACAATTCAAGCATGAGGCCTGGTTCACGTGGTTTCTGTCCTGACGACCCCTTGCTACCCAAACCAGAACCCTGCGAATCAACTTGCATCGGCACAGTCGATGGCAGCGCTTGACCTGCTTTAGGAAACTCATCAGTTGCAGTGGCCGCAGCGTCACAAACCACGGGCACGTTATAACAAACAGGCGGTGTTTGTGCCGCACGCAAGACTTCGGCTTGGGATGGTACCTGAAATTCAAGCTGGCGCAGGGTCTCCAAGTGATCAGCGCTCAGTTCATGCAAGGCCGAAATAAAGAACGCTACCAACACAAGACGGCTACCAGACCACTGTCTAGTGGCATGCACAAGACGCCGAGCAGAGAAGACGGCGTGTGACCCGGCGAGGCTGAGATCAACGCCACGCCGCAAATTGCCATCGACTTCAAACACACTGTCGCCGCCCTCCTTCTCTACCCAGACCTGACCATCCTTGAAGTCAGTCAGGGCGCAGACAGCATTAGGCAGGAAGGAGTTCTGAGCATCGACATGTGGCTCAGTCTTGACATCACGGAACAGTACAATGCTGGTGAACCGAAAGTTCGGTATTTGTTGTCTTACGAAGCGAGCCGCCAGCTGGCTGACTCGAGGGAATTTGGACGTGTTAGTCCGCAACCCCACCTTGACCCTGCAAAAGGCCCCTGATGAAAATGACGCGCAGTCACCCCCACTGGCCCGCACAGGTGTTTCATGTGGCAAAGAAGAAAAGATAGCTGCCAAGTCAGATTGTGACACCAAACAGTCCTGCTGTAACAGTTCATAGGCCCGGTCCTCAACCGAGCCCTCAAATTCGTGAAGAACACTTTCATCGCTGATGGACTCGACTTCACAAGCCACCCCGTCAACGTGCTCATCAACCTGTGAAACACATGCATCACTCTCACATGCCAAGTTGCCACCATGACTCTCGGGCCCTAGTCACTCACTCTTGCGCTTTGGGCAATTCGGATAGAAGTGACCCGGCTGGAAGCACGAGCAACAAATGTGGGCCCCGCGGAAACATTTGTTTCCTGTCAGCTGCCTTGTGCACTTGCCGCGCTGGGCATCAAAGCAAATCGGCACACCCTTGGGAGTGCAAGAATGTCCATCTTTCAGATCCTCTGGCATGCGCACCTCTCGCCTTTGTTTGCCTTTATCGCCACCCTTGCCGCCACCCTTACCGCCCCGCCCGCGATTGGTCCGATAAGGAGCCGGTCGTTCAAAGCCTGGGGCCTTAGGAGGTGGGGCGGCGAGAGGAGCTAAAAGGTGAGCCACTTCTGACATGTCCGCACATCTCATCCAAACAAGATCAAGTGGCCTACCAGCAGCGGCAACCTGAACACCGCCGCGACACTCATTGGCTGCAACGACAAAAAGCTGTTTGTCCGCCTGCAACACTTGCTGAATGCTGACCCTGGTATACCCAGTCGGCACCTCACGATACCTAGAATGCAACAATCTCTCAGCCCATTTCTCATGTTCCTTGAAGTCCAACAAACCGGCCTGCTCAAGAGCCAGTCCTCTTCGCGTCAGTGCAAACTTAAGCAACAAGTCGGTGCTCAAATCAGCCTCGCCCCGTATGTCGGCATTCACTGTTGTCAACAGTGAGTGTGCGATCCTCCTTGTCACGGGAATTGCGAGTCTCATCGTCCTTGCTCATGCACCAGCTGAGAGGCATGTAGCTCAATCGGTTATTTTCGTACATCTGACAACATCTGTCCACCGACCTGTCACTGGGCTCATTGGGCCCAGCTATGGTCAGTCCTGGATACTTGCGCACCTGGCGAGCCAAGCGGTCAGCTCGGTCGGGAGCAGCGAGGCTGCGTGCCGGTGCATCAGTGGTCCGTTCAACCTGGGACTTAAGTTCAGCGGCTACCAAGGCATACGACTCAGAATGAAGTCGTCGAAAGACTGACAACTCGCCTACGGTGGCATCCCTCTTAAGCAACGCCTTCAAAGCTGTAACGAAGGGGGTCTCGTCGCTCTGGCCAGGGATGAAACTGCTGACATATGCAAACTTGGCGAGCGTGTCAACACCGCCGTCAATGACGAGTTGCAGCACCTCATCTGAAAGCCCCAACTTCTGTGCCCTCGCACTGAAGTTCGCAACGCTCTCAGTAATGCTCATGGTGTCAGCTTGAGCCACTCGCTGCCACTCGATCCACCTGTGATTGTCCTGATGCAATACAGCACTCAAATCAGCATGTGTGCACACTCCAAACTCGTGCAGAACACACATGCACCCATTTGTCCCGCCACCGAATCACATCATCTGGCCGAGACCACTATACTTGCGGGGCCGATGCACACCGCGCTCACAGGAGCTGAAACACCATGGTATCCGTCGCCACACACTGTGAAGTATGCGCATACACATCAACGCCAAGAACTAGCAGGGCCACACAATGGCACACCGCTTCCGACTCCTTCCGTGTTCCAGCTCACGTCACCAAAATGCAAGAAGCGGGGTCGCACAGACACACCAACCCTTCTGACTGCGATGCACGGGGCCGTAAGGCACACCTGCAGTAATCTATAGACTCGGGGCAAAGCACACCGACCGGGCACAACAGCCGGGGCCACAAGTGGCACACCGACCTCAGTCACGAACTCGAGTCCACTCAGGTGTCAAGTCCGCGATCAATCTCCCCCAGGCGGCTGTGACGAGGCAGCATTTGGAGATCCTTCAGGCTCCCGCTGCACCGCAGCGAAGCATCGACCGCACACTGGATACAAGAAGGAGGGCACGGCCGCGACCCTCTCATAGTTCCTGGTGCAAGCCCTTCCACATGTCAAAACGTTGCCACTCTCATCGGCAATGACATGTAACATCCGAGATGCACGATTGCGAACAAGTTGTTCAGCCCTCAGTGGCTTCTTGGGTATCTCCTCGGCCCAATCATCCGCGACACTGTCCAAGGCTAGCTCCAACTGCTCACAATCAGCCTCGTCCTCCTCCTCGTCAAGCGACGCCTCTGAGCCCGATCCCTCAACATCGTAGCCGGCGTCCGCGCCATCCGCAGTAGGAAAATACCCCGATCGGGTGTTGTCTGGAGCGAACTCCAACTTCCGTATCCGCGAAAGCACGCCCTCTAAGACTCGGACTGAGGAGGACACGGCGTCTCTGCTGTACACCTGGGCACTCCGATCGCCAGGCGCCGTATGAAATCCGAGCACTCTCTGGTCGTAGCTGTCTATCCCGAAGCGGGCACACCACGATAGGCAAGTCGCCTTACAGCTATGAGTCCCGACTCGAGAGCATTGCGGTTCGGAAAACCCGCATTTCCTAAGGAGGCTCCGGAGCCAGCCTGCCGCCACCGACGCGCTAGGCGGATGGCCCGCCCAGTGACCCGTTGTCAAAATTGCCGGGAGCACTGGCTTGCCCTCGCCGATGGGCACCTTAAGATCCTTGCGGACCTGTGACCACGCAGTGAACCAGTCCTCATCTGACAATCCATGCCTGGGTGCCACCATGGGCAGCAACTGGGTCTTTCGTTCCGTTGTGTAAGCAGTCTTAGTCCTAGCCACATCGGCTTGCAAATATCCTCCAAGACCAGTAGGATCAGGACTGGGGCGATCCTCGAAAATGTTGCACATGTTCTGCGTGTCGGAGTACCGACCCCGCATATACACTGACAGCAAGAAAAATCCTGCTATAAAGCGATCAACCTTGTCACCACTGGAAGAGACGACCAACCTCTCAAGACGAAGCACCATCTCTGTGGTAAGCGGGGGCCGCTGAAACCTCTTTCGCTTGGTGAGGTAGCAAGCCTTTGCCACCCCCACCAAGCGCTTGCTGTTCATGGCCTCCTGAGCACTACCAGCTCCAAGGATGTGAAAGCAAAAACTAATGCCGCTCATCAAACTCTTGAGGAAGCTGGGTGCACATTTGCCCTCGCACTCACAAGCAAAGGCATAGAGGCTCTCTTCCGAGAATGGAAACGCCGCGACGGTCTGCCTGTCGGCCCACGCGATGTACCTGATAAGAGGGTCTGCTCGGCTGTGTAAGGTTCCAGCAGACCTGCCCGCGAATACATGACGCAGAGAACGAGACACCTGCACTCCCACCGGCGCAGCAGTAGTCGGTGTCACCCTGCGGCCCACATCAAACTCTTGCGGACACCTCATGATGACAGCAGTCCACTTGCGAACGGCTGCTACCATCCTCTTCTCAGTCTTTGCTTCCCACGATAAATCATGACGTACCCTAGAAAACCTGGAAGAAAAACTGACAGCAGGTTCAGGCTGCTCGACAGGCTGCTCGCCACCTTTCAAAGGAACCAATGGCAAAGGTCCCTTTCCAGAGGGAGGACCTGAAAATCCAAAAGATGCTGTTGGTTGTCAGGATGCCTGAGCGGTTCGAAGACTGGCACTCAAATGAGCTTCATAGGCCGAATCTGGAGCAATCTTCGGTCTCTTCACAGGATTGTGTTCAGAATCCACGGACAGTGCTTGAGTCCCCGAACTTCCCACTGAAAAACGGACAAAGCACTGCGGAACCTATAAACAGAAATTGTCTTTTGTGACAGCGCGGTTTCTATTTTGACTGCAATTTGGAAAAGTCTTGAACCAAGAACCGCATTGTGAAGCTACGAGGCATCAGGAGAGGAATGGCCTACCAGCATCCCAACAGACAACATGCATGCGCTCACGGAAAGAAGACTGCTATCGACACAATTTTTGCCAGCGGCCTTGCCGAAAGCTACCAGCAGAAGGATGGTAGTGAGAATGCTTGTCAATCTCATGATCAAGAACCTCCCAGGACCTTGAACGGCAATGTTGCACGAAGCTGGTCTGAAGCAAGAAAAACTTTCAGCAAAACTCTCACCGCAGCTTCAGGCAAACCAAGCCGATATTGCCGAACTTAATCGCCAACTACAAAGCCTCGACCTACGCGTTCGCATATTGGAAGCCGAGCGCTCCGGCGCACAACAGGCCTTGTGGCATTATCACAGAGCCGCCAGAGACAGCCAACGCCTACGAAGCCTCATCTCCGTGGGTCTTTATGTCTGCGAAGATGGATCTGATCAGAAGCCGACTTAATCTCACATTCACTCGCCTCGAGAACCTGCTCACAGCCTTGCAACAATCCTGGCCCAGCCGGGCTGCCTATTTTTCACCAGCCGCGCTAGACATGCCCAATTATCAGAGGCCGGACTGGAAAGCCTCGGAAACCGAAGCTGACCCAGCGCTGCCTCTTCGTTTCCAGCCTTATAGCCTTTTCGCAATCCGAGCCTATGAGCGTCTCAAAACAGAGTGGCCCATAGCTCCTTGCCATCGTGTTGGTCAACCGGTCTGCTCGTCTGCCTCAGGTCTGCACCGTCGCGAACCAGCCCGGGGCTCAACTAGTCGTCTCGCTTTTGCTAGCACGCAGCGCAGCAGCGAAGCTTTCCTGCTCAAAGCATTTCGAAAACACATCAGCCTTAGCCTACCAGCCTATGGTTCCTCGCCGCAGATCCAAGTCTTCCTTCGCCTTCTCCAGGTAACAGGAGGGGAGCCAAAGCAAAGGCCAAAGCCTCCATCAGGGAGGACTCCTCGGTTTCCAGTGACATTGAACAATTCCTTTCCGGAGAAGCCGATCTTGAAGAAGCAGCCCACGCCTCCGGCCCTACATCGCTAGCGGGTCCGCCAGCTGGCCCGCCTGCGGGCCCAAGCAAAAGACGACAGCTACATTGCTTAAGGTGGGGAAGGCAGCACACGGGTTAGGGCATTTGGGTTCTTGAGTTTTCTTCGCTCGCCACTACAGTGGCTCGTCAAGTCGCAAAAAGGTACTAGCTGGCATCGCTGCGCTCGACAGCAGAGGTACATGCTGGAGTTCAGAGATGGCTAAGGCAAATGCAATTGCTGACACACGCAGCGCTGACCTGATTGGCTGGCTTACAGCACACGGGCTTGCTAGCAGGCCTTGTGGCTGAGACGCTGCTCGCTGGGCGTAGGTGGTGACACGGCTGACCTGATGCGTGGCAAAGGCAAGGGCAACTAAAGGCTAGTTTGCGATGCACATGGCCCCAGTTCGACGGTCTTTTGGCTGAGGCTAAGAGGCTAGTCATCTGAAGGACGGATAGAGATTTCAATGCGCCATCCCTGGGCGCGGATCTTGCCTTTAGTCTTGACCACCGGGACTGCCGTGGAGGGTGAGATTACACTACCCGTGGCTACATAGGCGGTGCTGCCGGCGGCGCCGCAGATTCAGCTGCATTCGTTCGTGTAGGCATGGTCGGCGGCATCACGGCTGGAGTCGGCGGGAGCGGTCCTGACGGAGGAGACTAAGGCTGAAGGGTCGCGGGGCAAGACGGAGGCAAAGTCGTCGTGGATCTCCGCGGAGGCTGAAGGCAAAAGGTCGGTCATGTGGCTATGGTCTGCTTGAAAAGCTAACGGCCCGTAAAGTCCGCGTTGAGACGCTGAATCTGGCTTAGCTGGGAAGAGGCGCTTCCCGCAGGCAGCCTCCCGTTAAATTGGTAGGCCGGGCTGCTGTAGCTATTCCAATTGGCGTCCCAAGCCCTGCGCTCGGCTGCTGCGCGCGGCATGATGGACTATGTTAGGAAGTCAGAGGATCAGGGAGTAGAAATCATGGCTGCTGGTCAAGGCTGGTGACTAGGCCAAGGCTGAGCACGGACTCGGCATCGCGGAAGCTTAGGCATCAGGCCTGGAAAAGGCAAAGGCATAGCTGTGCGATAGACGAAAAAGCCACCGTGGTCGTGGCAAGGACCGCACAAGGTTAGCGCTCTCCAAGATTGTGACTCCAGGTGGAGCAGCACAAGCGAGCAAGGCTGAGTTCCATACAGTGAATCCACGAGATGCTGACCTGGCAGCGGCAGCCGGAAATATTCCAGTCTGTCAGCTAATTGGTGAGAGAAGCCTGCAAAACACATAAAGTGAGGTCTTGTATCCAAAGACCGAGTCTGAGGCCGATCCGCAGAGACCGATCCTGGCAGATTGTCTGGAAGGCTATGGTTGCTGGGGCTCGATGAGAGCTCTGTGCCCTGGGGAAGAAAGCAAGGTCTTCCTGTTGTACAGCTGCGAAGCCTTCCGCTGCTTGGCTTGGCAGGCTATCCTCCGAGGGAGGCCTAAGCCAAACTTCCTGCTCAAAGCAGGGTGCCTATAGGCTGACACGGGCAATGCAAACAGGCCAGATGAAAGTCACCTAGGGCAAGAATGGAAGGCATAGGCAACAAGTGATTGCATGGCAAAGCAAGGCCAAGCCGCAAGCGGCAAGGCGCGGTCTGACGAGGCTGCTAGACTGAGTTGCACTGGCTTTTTGCAAACGAGTACACCAGTGCCGGAGCTACACTGCAATGAAGCCTACCTAACATACACAAAAACAACGTGTAACGAACTGCCAACAAAGAAGAAAGTTTGGACTGGAAGGGGAAGCAAGGCTTCATTCCAGCAAGTGAGCCTCATCGGCTCTGTGTTTCGAGACGGCGAGACAGGCGAGACAACTGAGACAATGTGCAAAAGGACCAAACTTGTCTGAGACTGTCTCAGCTGTCTGGAAGGTTGTCAGCTTTCTCTGACAGCAACAGGCCAACTTCGGACCAGACATAGGGTTTTAGTTCAATTGTCAAAGCCTTGAAGAAGGGAACAATCTTTGCAGTTGCTGCAGAATTTGCCAGTTTCGATGTGTTGAACTGCAAACTTTGTCGAAGCCAGGCTGCAGATTGAAAGCAAAAACCGCATTGCATGTGTTGTGTTTGTGTTTTCGAAGACCGACTGAGCCTGCCGGAATTGTATAAGGCTCAAAACGGGTCCGAATTCCCCGTTTTGGCCCCGCTCTGCCCTTGTTTGAAACCACTTCTCTCAAATCAACCAAGCATGGCTGTTCTTGTTTGTTGCCTTGCTCGCCGATCAGCGTAGTGCTCTCTCTAGGGAGAGTGTTCCAACTCTCCACTCTGTAGTAGCTACGAAGGTTGTTTCAAGACATAGGTCAGAATTCGTTACTTCGAGGGCCTGTCGATTTTGAGGACTGCAGGCCGTACGCCTCGCAATCTGAGGGGCTC